TTCTGTGCTTTTCTCGCTCCTTCTTATTCTTTCATTAAAGTTTCTATTTCTCTCATTTTTTTCCTTCAATTATGTAAAACATATCATATATGTCCAAATAGATTCCCAAATAGACAAGTACTCATAATATTAATTTATTGATTAAGTTACTTGTATATTTATAAGCATTATGTAAAATAATTATGGATTTCTTATCTCACTGGCACATTTTTAATAATGATTTTATTCAAGCGTTTTACATTTATCTCCAACATACTGTGTTTATTATTATGAGAGCTGCTTGTTGAATAATTTTAGCATCCCAGAACAGTTGAAGAGCATGTGGGGATGTTGATAAAATGTAGAGGTGGGGTCCGAGAGTCTGCATTTCCACCAAGCTCCCAGGTAATGCTAGTGCAGCTGACATGCACAGCACTTTTGATGTGCAGAGTTTTAGAGCAGCGGTCCCCAACCTTTTTGGCACCAGGGACTGGTTTCGTGGAAGACAATTTTTCCATGGATGGTGGCAGTGGGGAGGGGTGGGGGGAGGTGTTGGTTCAGGCGGTAATGCGAGCGATGGGGAGTGACGGGGAGCGGCAGAAGAAGCTTCGCTCGCTTGTTCACCTGCCGCTCACCTCCTGCTGTGCAGTCTGGTTCCTAACAGGCCACGGACCAGTACTGGTCTGCGGCCTGGGGGTTCGGGACCCCCATTTTCAGGCCCATCATCTTCACTTTTCAGTTGCTGTAAATACAGCACTTTAAAAATTCACATATGATGCTCTCAATAGATATTTCATCTTATGCCAGAGAACCCCCATCTGCATGATAAAGGATCTTTTTTTTTAACATCCACAAATAAAATATTTTATTTATTTTTCAACAAATGGTGTTGGAACAATTGAATAGCCGTAGTTAAAAGAAAAAAGAACCCTGACCTAATCCTCATACTTTGTACAAAATTAACTCTGGATCAATCATAAATCAAAATGCAAAATATGAAGCTACAGAACATTTAGAATAAAGCATAGGAGAAAGTCTCTGTGACCTTGAGTAATACAAACAAGTGTATATTAGAGGTAAACAATAACGAATTTATTACAGTTTGGATGTGCAGGGTAAGGTCATAAAATCCTGTTGTACTTGCCAGGGAAGAAGGGAAAACTTCACAGTGGGTAGTGGTCAGTGGAGGAGAAGCAAGTGGAGGGTCCCTTTGGAAGGGACATTTTTTTTTCTTGTGCCATTTTTCATTAAGTGTTTATTAGCCTTTGGGGGGCTCGTGATGATCTTAATTCAAATTTCATTGCATAATAAAGCGACAGGGACATCCTGCTCTCAGCATGACAGCCAAGGGAGCTCTACAGATCCGCTCAAATGTGAAGCTGGAGAAAATCAGTTTTTACAGAATGCAAAGAGCCTTTCTCTGGAAATGATCCTGAGCCATTTCACTGAAGAAACATTTATTCCATAGAATCTACCAGAACTTGGTAAGAACTATGAGCGTCTGTGGTCTTTGAACCAAGGTGTGTGCCCTCCCTCCCTGCTCTGGCTCAGCAGGGCAGAAGCCCACCCCAGGCTGGGGGAGCCACGCACACGGGGACCCCCGCTCCTGGCATCCCGCTGCTGGACTATCTTCCCGGGAGGGCAGCATGTCAGCGTTTCTCATCCTGCCCCCCAGAGATCTGTGTTTGGGGCTAAACACTGAGTGAATGTGGCTGAGAGGGGGGGGGGGGGGGGGTCCCTTCTCCGGCTCAGACCCCCTCGTGGGACCAGACTGCACATTGGGCTCAGAGCACCGAGAATGCTGGTTCCCTGTTACCCTTGCTGTGGCTTGTGGCAGGTGGAGTGGTCCGTGCAGTAAAAGATCATTTTTTAGAAGTTTATCTTATATGTATATATTTCTAAATTGTTCAACATATATACTTTGTGTAAGTGAAGACAGGCTAAGTTATGCTGCAATAACAAACAGTCCCAGAATGCCAGCAGCTTGAAACGACTCATACGGGATCCCCCCCGGGTCTACTTAGAGCTCTGGTCCACATCATCTTCCCTTTGGAACACGGGCTGATTCAGTCCCCACCGTTGCCAGAGACCAGAGCAAGTGAAAGAGATATGAGGAATTGTGCTCTGGTTCCTAAAGACTTTCTCCCAGAAGTGACACATATCACTTTTCATGTTTATTGCCCAGAGGAAGTCATGTGGCTGTGAGTAACTTCAAGGGGCAGAATGTTATCCTACTATGAGCTTAAGTAGAGGAGAACCAAAACATTTCTGAATAACCCTAATTACTACTACACACATACTTAGCTGCTTTTGAAAGCGATCATTAAAAGGCTTTCAGTGAAATCCTATGTTTGCATTTTATGTTGTCTTGCCTTCCCCTAACAATTACTGAATCTGTATTAAATTTTGGTTGTCGATGCTTAAAATAAAAATTCTCAGGTGGTCCTCTCTAAACATCAAAATTTGACATTGATCCACGTTGATTTGCTAGTCAATGATTTCCACTTAGGCTGCACATTAGAATCACCTGGGGAGCTTTTTGTTATCCCAGGTCAGCCTCAGACCGATCAAATTAGAACCTCTGGAGGTTGGGACCCTGGCATCTGTAGTTTGTAAAACTCCCCAAGTGATTTCAGTCTGCATGTAAAATTGAAGTCCCCTGTGTTAATCTATCTTCCCTAAAGAGTGCTTTGTTGTTCAAGATAAAATAATTGAGAGATTGCCCCCAAAGAGAAACTTTATTTGGGCTTGAACATGAGGTGAGCTGCTGTTTTCTGAGACGTAATTTAGGGGTCAACACCTTGCCCTATGTTATTGTCTCTTTTGTATTGTTTTGTTAAACCCAGGTATGAAGGCATGCATTTTCTTATTTGTTGCATCTGATAGTCCGATTTTGATGTATTTTCCTCTGTGATTGTAGTTTTTCCATAGGAACTGATCATCTGTAGGGAATGTGTGTGGAGTATGGAACTGAGTCTTCTGGGTGACTGGTTTTTTGTTGTTGTTATTTCGGTCGCGCCACGAGGCTTGTGGGATCTTAGTTCCCCGAACCCAGGTCACAGCAGTGAAAGCTCTGAGTCCTAACCACTGGACCACCAGGGAATTCCCTGGGTGATTGTTGCCTTTGCTAATGCTGGGCCTTAGGAGTTTCACCGTTCTGGACCATTTTCTGAGCCTGTGTGTTGATGAAATTGCAAAGAAATAGAAATTAAAGTCTTTTACGTGTGTATACATGTGGAAAAATAGACACAGATACACATGTACTCATACACATTTACACACATACGCAATATGTGAATAGTAAGGAAGAATCCCGAGGATTTAGGGCAGGGAGGGGCCCAGAGGATGGAAGGAACTTGTCCAAGGCCAAGGAGTGATATAAAGTGAATGAAAACCTCAGTCTTCCCACCTACTCCTGGCCTGACTTATCCTCCATTTATAAATGTGTGTGTGTGTGTGTGTGTGTGTGTGTGTGTGTGTGTGTGTGTGTTGAAGTGTGTCCAGGATGCAGAGGGATTACTTAGCATTTGTTTGGAGACTGGGGGGTCTCGCCCTGCTTCTGTTCATTTTCTTTCCTGACGTTGTTGGCTGTGGCCTCTCCTAGTCAACTGTAAATTGTATTTGCAGGAGCCAGAAAGCGCTGAGCACACATCAGAGTGTGGGTAGTAGGGCCGTTTCCTAGTTCCCCGGAGCCGTGGACTTGTTTGTGGATCGTGAGCCGCGACTCCCTCTGTCCTGCCCTTTCAGAAAGCAAACCGGCAATCAAACAGTAATTGTTTCCTTCTGTGTGGATTTCTCATTCCAAAGACTGCCATGGCAAGTAGGAAGTCGGCTTTTAAAAGAGCAGAGGAACCTGGAATTAGACGTCAGGCCTGCAGTGCAACCGTGGATGTGGTAGCCCTACAGCCCACATTTTCCAGCAAGAGTCCTGACTTCAAATATTTTATTCTGTTGGTTTTATAAACAATCCAAATGCCCTAGAACTTCCACTACGAACCATATTTTCTAAAGTGTTTCTTACTGATGAAAGAAGCACAGAAATCCTTTGTTAGACTCTGTTGCCCCAGTTCTGGTTTGAAAAATATATCACTGTACACATTATGCAAAGAAGACTTTTTTTTTTTTAATGGTGGGGTTTAGAAAGGCAAAAACAGTCCTATTTGGGACATACCAGTTTAGAAAAAGACCCAGTATCCCAGATCTCTGGGGAAATCCAGGTACTCTTCCTCTTAGCTATTCATCCAAGCATATGTACAGACATTCAGTCCAGTTCCCCCTCACCGTCTACTGGTCAGGGGGCGTGACAACTACGTTAGCTAACTGTGACAGGGGCTCTGCCCTCAGAGACTTCACAGCCCATAAAGGGAGACGAGACATGGACACACACAGTAATAGATACAAGTCAGAAGTATACCCTCTATGTTCTATGCCCTCTGAGTATGTCAGAGGGCATAGAGTCTCCCAACTGGGAAGGTCTAGAAAGATTTCGATTCACTCAGCCTCACCAGACCCCACACAGCACCCCTTCCTCTGCACCCTGTTGATCAGAGCGAGTCACTAGACCAGCCCGGAGTCAGCGTCCACCTCAGGAGGAGGGGAGTAGGATGCCCGCACGAGGATGGGATGGACTTTTGGTGGCCATCTGTGCAGTCTACCACATGAACGTAGAAGAGGACAAATTTATTAGTATCAGAGCTGAAGACTGGCATCTCACCATTTTAGCGCACATGTCCTTGGTCGTTGGTGAGGTCTAGCTGTGCTTCCCCGGTTGTCTGAAGTTGTGAGCTTCCCTAAGCCAGTCCCAGTGGGCACAGTCATGTGCCTCTCTCATGCCCAAGCCAGGATGAAAGGTGATTTCTGCAAAGTTCACGTTGTGAGTGATTCTGCTGAGGCAGAAGTGGTTCCTCTAGGCTTCTTATCCATCCCTTTCCTCTCCCCTTTCACTACCTTTGCTGTTTATCAGTTCCTTGCCCGTGGCGTCCACCCTTCTTACCAAGGTTCCCGCCTCTCTCTTGTTCCAGGCACTAACACGGGGGGAGATACTAGCGATGGTGCCTGTGAGCCTGGACTGGCCTCCGCGGCTTCCTACATGAACCCCTTCCCGTTGCTCCGTCTCGTCGAGGACTTGAGGCTGGCCCTGGAGACGCTGGAGCATTCTCAGGAGAGAGCAGCCCTCCTGAGCCAGATCCCCGGCCCCACAGCTGCCTACCTAAAGGAGTGGTTCGAGGAGAGCTTGGTGAGTAGGCCCATGGCCTGGGTGGGGAACACGGTCACGGAGCCCCTGGCATGCCACCACCACCTGGGGCTGTTACTTCATCTGTGCACTGTCCAGTCTTTTCTTGCTTCCTGTCCAGATTTGGCCAACCCGCAGTGGGTGGTGGTCCTTCCCAGCAGAAGGGTAGGGCCTGGTCAAGCAGCTTAAGCTCCACAGTCAGCCTGCCTGGGCCCCTCCCGTTGTTCTCCTGAGAAGGGGAAATCCAGGGCCAGAGAAGAGCGAACATGGAAGGTGTTTCCCCCCAGATAGTACATGCACAATTTGCTGTGTTATAATCCCTAGCTGGGGTCTCTATTTTCAGCTGAACCCACCATGCCCCTCGTTTCTTACAACAAACTAGAACCTTGTTGCCTCATGCATCCCGTCATTGCTGCCCCTACTCTTCAGACCACCCTGCCCTAGAAGTCCTTCCTGCCGCTAGAGTGGAACGCAGGTTTCCTGACTCTCCTTCTGCCCTCTCTAGATCAATCCTGCACACCTGCTGGTCTCTAAGGGAAGCAGATGAGTAACCAAAGCTGTAAATTTTGGGCTTTTGTTACCCATCTCCTTCCCTGTGGAGACCAGCCAGTCAGCTTTAAAAGACGAGTAATATCTGGGAATGGGTAAGGCAAGGAACCAGTCCATTCTGGAAATGAGCTGGATTGGCACCCAGTCCAGGGCTGGGAAGCCAGAGGGAGCATGTGATCATTACCTAAGCTGAGTCTGAGGATGAAAGCTGGGCTGCAGTCTTCTGAAGCTAGAACCCAGTGGATCTGATTCAAACTTGGGAAGTTTGCACAGAGATAGGATGACAGGAACAGGACCACTGAATTGGGAGGGGCAGGTTGATGTTGAAAACCACAGACGAAGGAGGTTGAGATCCTCTTTTCTGGAGGCCAAGTCATTTGTGATTAGACGGGTTATATCCCAGATGTCCTAGCTACTCCTGTTCAGGAGTCTGTCAGTACAGTCTTATCCCCATGCCTTCCTCTGAGCACCGAACAATTCTTTATTATATTCATTATATGTGTTGTTCAACATTTTCATTACATAGGTTGTCTGCCTGGAGTTCTGTAGCATACCCATAGGTAGGGAGAATAACAGCCTTTCAAAGATGTCTACATCCTAATGGCCAGAACCTGTGAATAAGTTACTGTGTGTGGCAAAGGGGAAGGAAGCAGGTGGAATTAAGCTGCTAATCAGTTGAGTTTAAAATAGGGAGAGCAGCCTGGATTCTCCAGGTGAGCCCACTGTAATCACTGGCGTCCTTATAAGTGGAAGGGGCGGCGGAAGACTCAGTGTCTGATGGATGTGGTGGGGGAAGGAGTCGCTCGCTGCCGCTGCTGGCTTTGAAGGCGGCAGGGCCAAGAACCGAAGGATGCAGGCAGCTGCCAGGAGCTGGAAAACTGGGCTCTCCCCTGGAGCCTCCAGAAGGGAGAGCAGCCCTGCCAGCAGCTGGATTTTAGCCCAGTGAGATTCATTTCAGACTTCTGACCTCCAGAACTATAAGGTAATGACTTTGTGCTTTTGCAAGTCACTAAGTTTGTGGTAATTCGTTACAGTAGCAACCGATAATGCCCAGAGAGGAAGGTGAAGGTTGCTGGATGGGTCTCGGGTGGGCCTGTTACAGGTCAGGTTTGCAAGTTGGCTCCTCACTCATTCCTCCCCCACATGAAGGCGGTTCTTGGGGGTCCTCTCAGACTCGTGCCGATAATGGGACAGAAGTCCCCACCTGCTCCTCCGCTCACGCTTTTAACCAGATTGGGAGTTGCTGGGGGATGGCTTCGGTAGTTTAGTTCTCCTTCCCACAGCAGAAGGATCCCCCTTTGCTTCGCTAGAGAGGAACTCTCTGGCTGTTACCGTACTTGCAGCTTCGTGATGTTGATCCTGGCTTCTCCCCTGTCATGTCTCAGCATCTTCTGCCCACCTCTCTTTGCAGCTGCGGCTTTCCAGCTCACTTTACACCCGGCATGGGCGCCCATCCCTCCCTGCAGTCCTGCTAAGTACTACTGACTCAGGCTGTAGTGTTTACAGAAAATTTTATGAAGCTTCAAGAAAATGATAGGTCGATAATTCCTCAGTCTGAAACCCTTGCATCTTAGAACTCAGAGCTTATTAAACTTTAGAAAGGTGAGACAGTGCATGTGTACTGCACAGTATGTACCATCTCTAGCAGATACAGGGCAGGAAACACGTGAACATTTCTTCAGCAAAACTTGTGAATATCTGCATGAAGTGGGATAAAGAAAGACTACAAATACATAATTTACAGTGACTGTATTTTTACCTTGTATAGATGTGCTCGAATTTATGGAACCATTTCTCTAATGTTGAATTGAAATTTTTAATCTTTCACTAATGATACGGCATTGCTGCACAGACTGTCTAGAAATATTTGTTGTTATATCGAAATATTTTCGGATAGAATCGTGAAAGTAGAATAATAGAGTTAAAGCAGGGTTAACGGACAAAATACAGCATGCTCAGTTAAGTTGGAATTTTAGATAAACAATGAATTTTTAATAAGTATGTTTCATACAGTTTGCTAAGTCTGGCAACTCTGATCAAAGATATTAATCTTTAAGCCTTGTGACACATTTTTCCAAACCACTTTTCAAAAAGATTTTACTCATTTATATTTTCATTGGCAGGGTTTGAGGTATATCCTGATCAACAAGCACTAAGATTGAAAAAATAGCTTTACTAATTTCATAGGAAAAATGGCTTCTTTTTTTTTTTTTTGCGGTACTTGGGCCTCTCGCTGCTGTGGCCTCTCCCGTTGCGGAGCACAGACTCCGGACCCGCAGGCCCAGCCGCTCCGCGGTATGTGGGATGCCTCCGGACCAGGGCACGAACCCGTGTCCCCTGCACCGGCAGGCGGACTCCCAACCACTGCGCCACCAGGGAAGCCCAAAATGGCTTCATTTTATCTTTGCATTTCTTTGTTTAGTAGGAAGGCTAAATTTTTTTATTAGCTAATTAGTATTCCGTATTGTCTCCAAACTTTTGGTCTCTTACCCCAATATGAAAAAAATTCCTTCTCCAAATACACATATTCGTATATGGAGAATTGTCCTAATATATGTAAATTATAAAACATAGTTGCAGATAGAAAATCCTTTTTAAAGGACAGGTTAAGGAAATAGCTCTAGAGACTTCCCTGGCAGTCCAGTGGTTAAGACTTCACCTTCCAGTGCATGGGGTGCAGGTTCGATCCCTGGTCTGGAAGCTAAGATCCCACATGCTTGGCAGCCAAAAAACAAAACATAAAAACAGAAGCAATATTGTAACGAATTCAATGAAGACTTTAAAAATGGTCCACATCAAAAAAACTTTAAAAAAGAAAATAGCTCGAATATTTTCTTCACACACCTCCCCACCCCCACCCCTCCAGAGATCACCTTGAGTCCCTTGGGTGTGCCTGCCCTAGTCTGGTCTGTTAATATTTTGTGTTCTCTCACCCCCACCCCTGTTAGGATTTTAGTGTTTTTCTTATGTTTAAATGACTTTTTACTAGCCCTTTGCTTTGTGGCATTTCTTTTCCTCACTTTATTTTAAAACGTTTATTTATGGTGGTTTTTTGAGGCAAAGATTTTAAAAGGATTGTAACTAATTTTATCGGTCTTTCCTGTTTGAATTTCTTTTCTTTCTAGAAAGGCCCTGCCTGACCTCAGATCAAATAATATTCACCTGTATTCTCTCTCAGTAGGTTTAGTTTGATTTGTATCACCTGGTTTACTCGAATTCATCAATCTTTTTAGTGTGTGGCATGAAGTATGGATCTAACTTCTATAATTTACCAAAAGAGATTCTTAAAAAATATTTTTGATCCCAAAGTAGTCGATGTGGTGTTTGGTTTTTGCAAGACGCATGGCAGGAAACAGCTTGCATTCAGACTTGCAGATCTGTTTTGGGGGCTACTTACAAGGGTTGGGGGAATGCTTGCCTTGGAGAGATTTTTCTAAAAGTTGTTGCATTCATTAAACTTTTGGAGTGGTTATGGCCATCAGCAACCTATGAATGGTGTACTTTTAGGGAGGTCAGAAGTTCATATAAACATTCCAAGAAACCAGGGCTGGATGTTTAAGGTTTTGATTCTAGACAGAGACCACCTGTGTGTATTTTAGGTCTCAGAGACCTAAAGTCATTTTACAAGGCGCACACATTCCATAGCAGGTCTTATCTGTGTGGAGATAGAAGCCAAGGCCGTGAAGAAACCCACTGCTCCTCTAGATTGGTTTTAGATTGCCTTAGGTTGGTACTTTTAGTTAGAAGATGTTGCTGTACAAGTTGTGGTCTATGGACCAGCAGTTTTGGTATCACTTGATAGCTTGTCTTCAAGAAAAAAAAAGTTAGAATTTGCCCCATCCACTGAACCACTTCCAGGTGATTCGTATTCACATTAAAGTTTGAAGCACTGCTTTAAACCAGAGACTCGCTTGAATTATTACCAAAAAAAAAAAAAAAATCCCATGTGACTTAAAATTGGAGCTAACAAGGTAGCTGGAGGGCTCAGGCAGGTAGTCCTAATTCGTGGTATCTGTACGTCCCTTGGGTGTTTGTGCTGTTCTCTTTCGTCGTAAACCTCAGTTACTGCTTTGTCATATGCTGGCCTGGCGTGATCCAACCCTACCTTATGACACCTGTCAGTTGGGATTCTTTCTCAGAAAGTGGCATAAACAGTAAGGAGTTTTAAATGTCACTAACGAGATGTCCAGAAGATGGGCGGTCCCAGGGTTAAATCAGTGACTCTGGGATGACCTCAAGGGCTCCAGCTTTTCTTATCTTTCTCCCCACCATCCTCAGGGTGTTGGTTCTTTCTCAGGTGTGTCCCCTAACAGTTGCAAGAAGGCTACTGCAGCTCCGGGCAGCCTGTCCTCACACACAGCTGTGTCCAGAGGTAGAATATGTCCTCTTTTTATAAAACTGGGAAAGATTTCTCTGAACCCCCCCAGCTTCTCATGGTCCCAATGGATAGGATT